AGAGAGAGAGAGAGAGAGAGAGAGAGAGAGAGAGAGAGAGAAAGACGACAGGGGAGACACAATAAAAGAAAATGAAACCATTCAGTAGGCTATAGGGAAAAGGGGCAGGGGGGTTGGCGCACACTTATTTTTATTAGCCTGAGGGTCCTGTCGCGCCATTAATGTCCCACGAAACAGTTTATTGCCAACAAGAATACAACTGCATCGATATGTGGGCCGAATCAGTTCGCACTGTAGGGCTTCGGCAATACCTGGGTCTCTTCTTTTTTTTTCATTTTTTTTTCAGGCATTCAAACCCAGCTCCCGCTAATGGAAAATATACACACGCTCCTTGTCATTTTCCTGACGCTAATGCCTCAGTAAAAATAATATTAGGACCTACTCTCGAAGGATTAACCAAATGCACATTAATAACACGTCTTTGAAATTCCATCTCGTGTTTGTTCAATGTTTGCGTTCCATCAGTCTTCCGGCTTTAAAAGGGGTTATGTTACCTGTACAACAATTTAGAGAAATTTCAAGATAAACGTGTAAGCCACGTTAAAGACTTGGCTGTTTGCACCATGTTTGCTTGTTCAAAATATAAAGGTATATCATAACAAAACATTTTACTTTCTTGCAACATCGTTACATCAAACAAGCAGCTTATAAATCAAATGCAATGTACAAACAAACTCGATAAAGGAAACGAATAGGAGTTGAGCTTAGAGGAGACAGTTAATAATCCATGAGGGAAAATGAAATAGTTTAGTTTAAGTAAGAATTTTACGGCACTAGCGACACAATAAGGTCATGTAAGTGCCGAAGAAGTATTACAAGAGAGTAACAAACATAAAAAAGAGGGAGAGATCAAAACGATAGATGTTTGATAGGAAAGAAGGAGCAAACCACACCAGAGCACCCGCCAACCACCCACCGAAAATGAAATAGGATGAAAGCGTTAGAAGCCCCTACACATGGCGGAAAAAGTGGGGAGGGGGGTATCTTTCAAATGCCAGAAAACAGACAGGGGTGGACTTTGTTTGAGTACGGAGAAGCACATTGACACAATAATGGTCATTTAGCGTAGGGAAAAAAAGACAGACAGAAACAACAGAGGGAAAGAAAATAGGACCTACCAGTGCCCCCCCAAACTACCTTTTAGGGTGGATTTGCACAACTTAGTAATTAAAATAGTTTTAAAACTATCAGGTAGAGGTGTGATGTGTAAATAGTTGATGGAAATAGAAGACATAAAAAAAGCAAACGGAACAGGATTCTTTCCTAGCCCAACGAGAACAGGAAACCAGGCAAAACTAACGAACAGAAAGGGCACATGGACAGGGTCACAGGAGAAACAGTTCTTGTACTTGGCACACACACACACACGTAATGTCTACGGTCCGGTTTTCGCGAGGTCGATAAGAAAACCCATGACGTAAGAATATACGGCTGAACCTGCTCCAAAGGCGACATGAACAACCACCCTTTTCCTATGCGTTTCTTTTTCTTCTTTTTTTTCATTATAATAACACTTCGTATGACGCCCATCTGTCTAAGACAACCACTTTTCTCCTCAACAATTTTAACCGTGGAGGTACTGACGTTTAATACGCCCACTTTCGACAGAAAGATCCACTACCATAGATCCCTCAGATAACGTACTTAATACTCTTTAAAGCCCTTCGATCAGTGAATAATATCATGATCTATCATCATTATCACTGCATTCACGAAAGGCCAGCTGCATTTCGTCAGCCTCTTTCCATTATAATCGTTTAAGTCAAAGTTGAGGAGTTTCCAGATAAAGCTGTTAATCGAATAGACAAGTCACGAGACATCTTGCAATGTTTTTTAAAATTATATTTCGTTTTGTCCTTCTTGGTATTTAACCGAAGAAGAAAAAATACTTAAATGGCCACGGTGTGGTTCTGATCTTAGTGCTCCTTTACTAGTAAAAAATGTACCCATTTATCAACACCCCCCCCCCAAAAAAAAAAAGTTTTACAGGCTTGTAGGGTGACGCTGAGGGGGAAAAAGACACCTTGAATCAAGCTCGGACCTATTTGCACAGCAATGTGTCTGTGCGTATATGTACATAAGTCTTTTTTCTTCCCCCATAGCTCTTAACGACATGACAAGCGAGCCCAGCCATAAGGCGGACCAGACAAGCGAACAAGTGAATGAAAAACACGACGGCTGTCCGGGAACCCCTGTCGCTGAACGAGACGGCCAGTCAAGATAGCTACTCGGGCCCTTCGCCACTCCGGCTGGCTGGCCTGTTTTTTGTTCTTTCCACCACAAGCGGCGCGTCGCCTGGCCAGGGTATTAAAAAGCTTTTTCGGTCCCCATTCGAGGGCAATTATCGTCAAAAGGGCAGCGAAGATCAGGACTACGCGTCGATAAAGATCAAACGTTATATCCCGTTTTCACCTAACGTGATCGCAATTTCGCCGGGCCGAGATAGTGCAAGTTCTTCTCGCTTTCGGCCCAGACATTATATTATTATTCGTGCTGCAGCCTGCAGAAACCACTTCACCCGACCACAGAGATTGTAGGGACCGTAGAAAAGACTTATTGTTCATAACAACGTTTCTTGAACTGAAAATTATTACTAGTGGACCTTCTCACGGGGAGCCTATTCAAAAGGGGGAGGAGAGCAAAAACATTCCCATTTATAATCCTTTCAAAGAGCGTGCGGGGGGGTAATCTAATGATATTGACGTTTGTAACGAAAATGTGCACGTTTCTCTAAAGAAGAAGAAGACAAAAAGAACAAAACATAAAAGATTTATAGTTTGAGTAACGAGAAGCACAGCGACACATTAACAGCCTTTTAGAGCAGGGGGAAAGCAAGATAAACGCAAAAGCAACTGAAGGAAAGGGAAAGAAATGAGATAAATCAGTTAAGCCCTCAGACTTAAACCGCCAAGTACATGTTAAAATCTCTCTCTCTCTCTCTCTCTCTCTCTCTCTCTCTCTCTCTCTCTTTCTCACTCCCCCCCTCTCTCTCTCACTCTGACACCTCTGCCAGTAAACCACATCCGACGCGATGTTATCGAGAGATTGTCGAAAAACAAGTCCAGACAGAGGGATCAACACGAAAGTTGCATGTACTGCCTGAACTCTCTGACTCTGGGACGCCAAAGCAAAGGCCAAAAGACCAGCAAAATAAATCAACAAACAAAGAAGGGCAACTGTGAATGAATGTGAGGGCCATTGAGGAAAAATCCAAATCATGTGATGTCAATACCAAAAAAACAACAACAAAAAACTTTTTTTTTTAAATTGAAAGCAAATGCATTCCACTGTCTGTGGTTGAAAACGAACAAAAAATGATAGAAGCATGAGGTTTTTTGTTTGCTTGTTCGGGGGGTTTGTGTGTGTGTGTTTGGTCTTTGGATTGTTGTTGTTGCTGTTGTTTTTTATAGGGGGGGGGGTGTCCTTGTTGGTCGGAGGTTTAAAAAAAAAAGTCACATGTGTAGCCTAAGATGTAAACATACCTTGGGGGCGCCCAGGCGTATCTGGTAGCGTCCATGAGTGTACCGACGTAAGTCTTGCCTCGCCACGTCACGTTTACAACCAACACTCCTGAGAACAGGATGACAACAAACTATCCATTAGTTCCCTTTTAGTAAGGATTTTTTTTCGGCACTTGTGACACAAGTAGGATACCGAATATTAAGAACTAAGGTTACGAGAGAGTAAGAAACACAACTGACTCATTGCAACGCTTAATAGTGAGTTGCTTACTAGTATAGCGCGCGCACGCGCGCACACACACACACACACACACACACACACACACACACACACACACACACACAATGATACAGTGTGCGTGTGTTCGTTCGTTGGGTTTTTTTGTGGTGTGTTTTATTGTTGTTTTTGTTATTTTCTTCGATTACTATTGACCCACTTTGTTTTTATTTGGGGGTGGGGGAGGGAGGGTCACCATGAAAAGCAAACCTCTATGCATTCCATTGGAAAGGTCTTTCGTCTACTTGTCTGGAAAGTCAGCAGCAACTACCTGCTACATTGTATCTACCAACACGTTCATTCTTTTAAATAAAAGAAAAGCCTTCGTTTTCGTCAATTACTTTCAGGTTTCTTTTTTATCATCATAGCAAACACTTCCAATCCTAAGTTTGTTTTAATAAAATCAACTTCCCCAGGTCTATAACCATCCTTCAAAGGTAAACAAGATTACAATCATGCGCCTGCCATCCAAATCCCCAAAAACAATCATTTACCTACTCTGTGCAGAGCGCCCGTTCAAAAGTCTCGGGCCAAGATCACAAAACAAAAGACATGTGCCACTCATTCTATTTTTGTAGCACTCCCGTTATTTGATAAGCTACGACTCCTACGCCCTTTTCGGGGTTTGAATGTCGGCGTCTCAAATTCTGCTTATCTGAAACCCATCTCATGTTTCTGGTTGTTGTTTTTTGTGTATTATTATTTTACTACTTTGTTTTATCTCATTTTTTTATCGAGAAAGCTCCGCAGCGCAGAGCAAAGCACAAGCTCTCCTGGAACGGCTGTTCCATATCTTTTGACCATTTCACTTGATTGTTCCGAGAGAGCAGAGAAAGTAAAGGAGGATTCAGTTATGAGAGGTTCCATTGCCACTTTAGCCTGACCCACGTCTCAATTATACATTCATTATTGAACGCAATGCACAATTCTAACTTTATCAGATATTCCTACAGATATCGACACCTCTGTCCTGTTAAACTTCAATATGGCATAGCGTAATAGAGGATTAAGGTTCATTCATGTGAAACTCATTTTGGGAGGGGGAAGGATTGAAGTAAGTAGACACCGTCTCAGCAAAACATGAGGAAGAATAATCCCATCAATGGAACAGCTTACAGGAATACCTATTCTATGGTCAGATTCATAATTATTTTATAACACACGTGACATTTACTTTGGTGTACCTTCTTCTCCCTTTGTCCACCACAATTCTTTTCCACTTTCCCACTAGGTCATTAGGTAATTTTGTTTTAAAGAACAATTGTGACAAAAAACACGTCAAACGCTGGAGCCCGTATCATCAACATTCCACTGTTCCCCTAAACTCCCAACTTTTTCACCACTTCACACAACCCAGACCGGTCACAATTACCAACAGAATCTCAAGTTGCATTTCTAAACCCCACAAAAACGATTAAGTTACTTGACAGACACTAAAAGGTAAAGAGGGCAATGCCTAGTTTCAAAAACAATTACAGCAAACTACTTAAGTTGTCTTCAGTTGTAATTTAACACTTCCAGAAAACACCAACAATGCAACAACAACATACTGCGCCAATTTCACAAACACACAAACAAAAAGGCATTTCAAAGTATATGAATTTGAAAGACAAAACAAGGTCAATCAATACGTTTTTAAACATACGTGTACACACAAGATATGCACCCACATAAATAAAAAAACCTGTCCACAAACGCCACAAAGCCGATGCCTTGCCATTACTTTTTTGTTGTTTGAGTAAAGAGAAGCACATCAACGCAATAATGGCCATCTAGTCCTGGGGGGAAAAGTCAGACAGGCAGACAGACACAATTGAAGGGAAGTAAAGAAGTAGGACCTACTAGTGACGCCCTCCAACCACCTGCCCATTATTTCTTTGAGATCTCACATGGACACAAAAATAAAAAGACGAACGAATCATTTTGTGACTCTTACCATTATCCGTCTCCTTCCAGACAATGCCCTCCAGTCCCACAGTGGTACCCGGTTCACAAGGTCCCAAACAATCGGGTTCTGTGACTATACCAACACTACATGCGTCCACGCCCACGCTACGCCGAGATGGAGGGACTTGTTGTTGGTGGGGATGGTGATGATGTTGCTGCAGCTGCTGCTGCGTACTTTGGTGGTGGTGATGGTGATAAACCTGATTCTGGTGCTGGTAGGACGAGGATGCTGGAGAGTGAAGATTAGTTGCCATAGCACCCTGCTGATGTTGTTGATGCTGCTGTTGAAGCTGGTGGGGAAGCTGATGGTGATGCTGAGGCTGTGGTGATGTAGCCGTCTCCAGACTGTCCACCTGTGAAAATTACGCAATATTATATGAAACACAAAATTTATTTTAACTTGAACTATACAGCATATGACGTTACGAACTTAATCCCTGGAACACATTCACAAAAAAACGAAAATCTTTCCGTGCTCACACAATTCTAAATACACACACACACACACACACACACACACACACACACACACACACACACACATACACACAGCTATGTTTATCTTAAAGTTAAAATCCAAACAAAAGAACTTAACCAAGGATCAAAACCCACCAAAGAGCCCATGGAGAAGCAATCACCCGCGCGAGGTCGAATTCGAGCCGGTGGGACTATGCCACTGTAAGAGACAATGCGGCGCTTTCGCGATGAACTAGAGCGTTTCTTCTTCCTTTTTCTATCCATTTTAACTAGGCTATATACTCTATGAACCACACAACGAAACCACAGTTTTACACTAGAATGGAGAGCTTGAAATATCCTTGCAGCAGAACTTTCTTCTAACACATTCGACGTCAACAACTACAAATGCGCCCCAGCCAGTTCCAAAAGAAAACCCGACAGAGTTACTCACATTGCGACAAGGCTGATTTCAACTGACCCTTTTTTGTTGTTGTTTGTTCACAGACTTATGAACGACACTCAGGTTTCGAATTATTAATAACAAGACTGGTGGTTCCAGGGAAGACGACAAAGCAGAACAATTATCCGGGACAAAGATTCGAAATGTGTATACTTGATACCTCCAGCGTGAGTCCGAAAATATCTAACGTTTTTCGCGAGTATCAATTGCCTTCATAACTGGGAAAAAAGATACCGTGTACATGAAATTTAAACAACTTACAAACAACGTCCAAACCAGCTGTTCACTTGTTCTTTTTCGTATACAGCCTTGTGTACACTATGTACATTGAATTACGATCATGACATCATACAGGCTTGACGAATGAAACTGGTTTTCCCACATCATCCAGGATTCAGAAGACTTCCGACCCCTCTACAGTACAAGAAAACTGAGCCTAACCTTCGACACGTGAAGGTTCAAGTGTAGACAATCGGGGAACACAAAGACAGCGAACGCTACAACTATTGGGATGACGTGGTGGGCGACAGCCCAAATAAACAAACAGCAGGTGACCACTTACAAAGTTGTTCAACGCTAGAGTCAGAGATAACACGGTAAACAGGACACGAGTTTTAAAAGAGGGGAAAAACGAGAGAGAAAAAATATCTGAGGAGTGCCAAACGAACTCTTTGAATTTAAAATCTTAATCTAAATCCTGCACTTTATAATACTTCTTTGGTGACTTCACGAACACGTAACACACACACACACTGAGAGATAGAGAGAAATAGAGAGGGCGAGAGAGATGGAGAGAGAGAGAGAGAGAGAGAGAGAGAGAGAGAGAGAGAGAGAGAGAGAGCGAAAGAGAGAGAGCGAAAGAGAGAGACAGAGGCGGAGGAGTACCTTTTCCAAGATCATAATTCAGGGGGTAATTGGTAGGGAAGTTCCGGCTTTTTTCTTGATTTTTCTTTGAGTTGTGGCGCTATGTTTTTTTCCAGTTGTTGCAACACTATTCTTTAAATTGTTGTGGGGTTGGAAAGGGAGGGGGGGGGTGGATAAACGACAATCAAACCAAATTACAAGAGAAAAAACAATAACAGCACATCTAAATTTACGAACGAGAACGTCATGCTTTGTGGCATAACCAAAAGGACGAACGCACCACACTCGCCCCAGGCTAATAACGGATGATCTTTCCGTGAATTTGAAGTAGCTAATAGGATTATCATATCGCAGTCGCGCGGAATCATAACGAT